TTGTGTTTATTATCCTTCAAATATTTTTCGCAACACGCGCAGTTTTGAAAATTGGGGAATATCCTCGGATTCGGTCATGTAACGCGTTTAAACCAATCGCGCGCGAGCGAAAATATTTGATGATTATAACAGTCGATATGTGGGTCCAGTTGAGGCCGATATATCGCACGGCTAACGACAGTATGTCGATCAAGTGTCGGTGAAATGACGGTAAAATGTCGGTAATGTATCGGTAGCAGGATGGTTCTATTCCAATTTGAGAGCTAATTGATATTTTCTCAGAAGTTTATTTTCGCTGGATGGGAACGCTTTTAAGAGTTACAACTCAAATGCTATTTGTCCGAATTCAATAAATTGAAACCTATCTCCAACAAAAACTAGAGAATTTGACAATTCTAAAAAAAAAATTCGTTGACAGTCATTTCTTTGCGGTCACTCAGTAACCTTTTTACGCAATTTTTGAAATGTTCTGTTAGTTTTGAACGCGAACAAAAAAGCCTCGAAAACCGAGTAGTATCGAGCTTTCGTACGATTAGCTCACTTATAATGACTTTTCAAAAATCACGAACGCGCCAGCGTTATTTTGCACTGAAGTACAAACAAACAAAAAAATAAATAAATAACGATAAATTGGCTTGCTCTGGGCCAATCACAATGGAGTCATTATCCCAGATAGTGTACGCTGGACAAAACTGTTCTGGATCGACGTTGACAGCAAAAAATTAAAACAAACTTTAGTATATTCCACACATGGAAAGTTATATTTATATGGATCACGCAAGAAAGGCTTGCGTTACACCTTGTCCAAATTTGGTAATTGAGTCACAAAAGTATTCAAAATCACGTGATTTCTGAGAAAAATGAGTCACATTTGGACTGTTGTTTTGCGAGGAAACTCTTCACGTGCCGGTGGATTTTTTTGCCACGATTTTGACAAGAAAGCATGAAAAAGATTTACAACTTATTTGGCCACTGAAATAGAATATGATCATAGAACTCTGAAGTCTTAAAACTGTTCTTGCCACTAGATCGGTCTTGCGCCTGTTTTGAAGATGGCTGCCTTTATC